ATCAACACGTACCGGGGCCTGCTGGAGAGCGAGGACTGCAAGTGAGTGGAAAGCTAGTACTATTTCCCTTGGGGATGCATGAGGTTGCTGTGGGAATGAAAAGTCATCTTGATGGAAACAAATCGATAATTTCAAGCTTTTGGTTGGAGGCAGTCTGGGGAAGTGCTATATTCTTATACAAAGTGCATTTAGTATTTTCCTATCTCTTCAGCTCATTTTCCCCTAACTGGCCCTCATGGTCTTCTGTCTGCAGGCTCCCCTGCAACCCATGTGCTACAACCAATGCATGTGAGAAGCCCATTGGGCCTTGTGTCTCCAATCCTTGTGCCCAACGTGCCCGGTGCGGACCTTGCAACACCTTTATTCGCTAGAGGCCCCGGTGCCAGGAGGAGGAGAAGAGTTCCAAAGTCACATCTCAACTCTATTTCACACTTTGGTGACCACACTTTGGACAAAGGAAGAATTTCTACCAGCACCAGCTTCTAGGTGTTAACTCCGCCTTTCACTGAATTACCTGGCTTGGTTCTTTAGACTGCATAGCCTCCTTACCAGCTCGTTCTGTCTTCTGAACATATAGAGAAATCTACAGCGGGATCATGCAATATCTATTATCACAATGACACACTTGTGTAACATGTTATGCTTGAACAAACACTTATCTAAATGTGATTTCAAAATAATCGCATGAAAGTAATGGATGATGGAGCTGATAGGCAGGTTATAAAGCTGTTGGGAAAAATCTTCCTCATCACTCTTTTGGTCTTTGGAGATGCAGTCAGGGTCCCTTGTTAACTTCCTAATAAACTCTTATTCTGGCACAAACATGATCATTGTCCTTCTTCATTAATTCCCAAATTGGGTGTCTTGTATCAATAAAAAATAAGTGGTGTTCTTTCATCAGATGAAGGGGTCATGTGACTTCCTTCAAAGGGAAAGTCTCCACCAGACATCACCCACCTGTTGATGTGGACTTCTTGTGTGGGGAGAAGTTGGTAGCAGAAGAAAGGGCAAATCCACATGCCAGGATCTACAAAACATTTTCTGTCTAGCTCTTTGGAGGGAACATACAAAAGAACCACAGAATGGGACCTCATCAGGAGCAAGTGAATCTTGAGAGTAAGGCCATACCTCTTGGCAACATGAAAATACTGTACCCTAGCAAGAACTGGAAAAAGTAGCCAACAACTATCTTCCTCAACTTCTATCTTTGTATATTGGAGAGGTTTTCTTTATCACCATCCAAATCAAGTAATGATGATGTTTGTGCCTACATATTTCATAATAACTATTAAAATATGCAGAAATACATTGTTCTCAAGTCCAGACTATCAAGTCACTATATTATAAATGATCAAACCATAATGTCGGAAAAGACTTATTTTCAATCACATTCCTCTCACCAAAGTGTTATTAATGTTGTTATTACCTTTCATAACATTTAATCATGATATTTTTGGGAAGGCAAGTGTTTATGCCTATTTAATAATAACAGCAAATATAATTGAAAAAGTTTTATAGATTACTTATTGCTAAAAATTTTTGTTAGTAGCATAGAGTGTATGTTTTATAACACACATAATATTTTATAGTTGTGGTATATATGCATATTATAAAATGCGTAACAATAGTGCATAAAGATAAGTAAACACATCGCAGGTGTGTGCTCAACATTTCCTCTGATAGGAGTGTAAGATGAAATATTGCAAAACCCAGCAAGTTAGTGAGCCCTGAACCTCCCAAACCCCTTGCACTCTGCACAGACTGAGATATGTCATTTCAACCTGACATAAAGTTGTAGGTGGAAATTCTTTGGAATGCCTCATATGTGATTGAAGAGTTGGAAATAAGACCATTTTGTTTCCATCAAAAAGACCCTTCCTTTTCACAGTGAGGGAACAGCATGATATTTACACATGCACATTTTTTTTGACATATAAATTCACCCGAGATACCTACACTGTGTGAAATTGGGTGTCTGAAGCACTGAGTGGAGAACAGGGTCCCCTCTCCCAAGGTTGTTCTGGGCTGTGAGGACAGAGCAAGTGCCTACAAGTCACCCCACTGAAGTCCTGGATTCACGGAGAACCTCTACCCTGCTCACCTGGGCCTCCTTCTTCCCCCTAATTGTCTCCTGTCCCTACAGAGGCTGTCTGGGTCCTGGGCACATGTTTTGTCCTCAGTAAGAGTGCAAGGAGTCTGAGAGACATGGAAAGACTTGGACTTCACTTAAGCTCAGCACCACCTGCTTGGAGGGAGGACGGCTGCTCATGTGACCCTCCTGGCCTCAGGTTTCTCCTGTCCTTTGTGACAAGGAGAAATCAGTAATGGTTTCTAGTCTATGCTGTACTCAAATCTGACTCTGCTGCTTACCAGCTCTGGCCCTTGGGCAAGTCCCTCCCCTTCTCCAAGCTTCATGCCTCCTCACAGGGCTCCCAGATGCAATTTAGAAAATGCAAACTCTTAGAGCAAGCGGAAAACCATCTGTAAAGTGCTATGTAGAGGCAAATGGTTATTCTTTGACACATCCAACTCCATTGGTTTGGACTGTTGATCAGTGACCACGATATTCAGTTGAAGAACGTGACTCTGGAACCAGAGTCTGTGGGTTGGATCCCAGCTCTACTCTTCAAGAGCGGTGTCCTTGCAAATAACATAAATACCATGCTCCCTTGTTTCCTCATCTTCAGTAGGATGACAATAATAGTGTGTTTTCACCGGATGACTGGGAGGATGAATTGAGTAAATATACAGAAGCACACAAAAGTGTGCCCAGAGGAAGTAATCAGGGCTGTTAGGAGTCACAGAGTGGCTGCCCTCCGGGTGCACACAGGAGAGGAGATCTTGGTCAGTGCTGGAAGGGAGCAGGAGGGATGCTTCTGGATCCTAAGCAGAAACTGCACACTGTATGGAAATGTAGCAGGTGGAGTTTCATTGTGCTGGATGCTGAAGACACTTGCATTTTTTGTTTGTGTGTTATGATTCCAAGGCAGATGTTTTTAAAAAGTGTGCCTGGGTATTAGAAAAATTCTTGGGAGTAAAAAAAAAGAAAAATTCTTGGGAGGTCTTCAGACCTTCAAAAGCTATGCAAATGGTAGAGTCCAAGTCTATATCTCTGAGAAGAAAAGGGAAATCCAGCTAACATCTGGGGTAAAATTGAAGAATAAATTGCACTAAGGTAATATAAATCTATCTTATATACATGTATACACACACCATGTACATACATATTATGTATTATACAATTACATATTAATATACATTATATTTGATATATTTAATATAATTAGATACATAACAAATAATATATTAATTAATCTATTATGTATTTAGACACACACACACAATATGTAGGTAGAAAACAGGAAAGCACAGCCGAAGGTAGAGGATTTAGTGGCCATGAGAAGTGGCAGGGTCTGCTAGGCTGGCTGAGGGCAGGGGCCTTGGATTCACCTTCCTCTTCCCTCCACACTCCAGAACCCCGGGACTGCTCCTTAGCCCTGTGACCTGGGCTGGAGCGCTAGGCCGGGCTGCGCCTGAGATGTCAGTGCCCTTCAGATGATGGAGGACCGTGGCTGGTTTATTCTGTATTTTAGTGAGCTCTGGAGCTTTGGTTCCATCCGTTATGTTGGGGGGGGAGGGGCAGAGGGAGAGAGAATCTCAAGCAGGTTCCATGCCCAGCATGGAGCCCAGTGTGGCACTTGATCTCACGACCCTGAGGTCATGACCTGAGCTGAAACCAAGAGTCAGACACTTAACTGACTGAGCCAACCAGGTGCCCCCCACAACCCACCAAATCCGTTTTTATTTGTATGCAGTTGGGAATCGTCATATCATCATATTCAGTGGTGTCCACACTTTTCGTCATATCATCATATTCAGTGGTGTCCACACTTACCAATGTTAAAAAAGAACCCAAGAACCAAGTGAGGGAACCCAAGGCCCAGCCCATAAAAGAGACTGACTCTTGTTTTCCTTTTCTGATTCCCACTTTTCCAAATCAGTGGTTGGAATGGAGAGATATCAGGAACAGAACTGTAGAGATTCAAACACCAACCTATGAAAAACAAAGCAAGAGGTTGAATGGGACTAGGGCTTTTATCACAAACTCACAGACCATGTACTTAGGTGTGGCAGCAAGTTCCAGGGGAAAATACCAAAAACCTTGATTCAGGGTGTGGATACCTGAGGCTACCTGAGGCTACCTGAGGAGACAGGGCCTCAACACTTGCTCAGCCGCCTCCCAGCCCAGGGTCTCTAGGCCAGCGTCTCCCCTGTGTTAGGGCTGATGTGCAGAGCAGAGCCACGTCTCTGAAAGGCTCTGGTCACAGGGTCCTCGTCCCCAGGAAGCAGACTCCTACAGACCAGAGAACAGACATCCCCACAGGTCTGAGAGTCTGTGCCCCTTTTCAGTAGAGGATCCCAGTCTTTATTAGACTTTGCCAGAGAAGAGTCAGTGGACAATAGTTTTATTAACTACTAACTTTAAAAATGATTAACATTGTGGTGGGCGGAGCAAGATGGCGGAGGAGTAGACCTGGATTTCGTCTGGTCTCAGGAATTCAGCTGGATAGGGATCAAACCATTCTGAACACCTATGAACTCAACAGAAGCTCGAAGAAAAGAATAGCAACAACACTCTGAACAGAAAAGCGACCACTTTCTGGAAGGTAGGACGTGCGGAGAAGTGAATCCGAAGAGATATTCGGGAGGATAGACGGTGGGGGAGGGGGGCCTCCGTCGGCCGCTTCTGGCAAGTGCTAGAGCCGCGGAGCACAAAATCGGAACTTTCAGAAGTCGGCTCCGCTGAGGGACGTCGCTGCAGTGGCTAAGCGGGGGGTGGAACCCTCGCGGGACAGTGTGGTCTCAGGACCCTCGGGGTCACAGAAAGACCGGGGATGTCTGAGTGCAGCAGAGCTCCCAGGTATCGGAGCAGGGAAGCCGGCTGCAGAGACGGAGCCAAGGCGCGGGCTCTCAGCTCGGGGTTGCCATAGACTGTGATCGGTGACAGTCGGACCACTGCTCCTCCAGCAGGGACCCAACAAGCGGCAGAGCCGGGGAGACTCCCCTTCCTCCCCTGGGAGGAGCAGCGCGGGAGCGCACCGCAGGGATCTGCTGGGTTTGGAGGCTCCGCACGGGGTCGGGTGCCAGAGATAGAAACGCTCGGTCACAGGCCGGGTGAGCATGGAGTGCGGCCGGAGACCGGGGAGACGGGAGTGACTGCTTTTCTTTGGGGGCGCACCCAGAAGTGGGGCCCCGAGTTCTCGGCTCCTCCTGGGCAGAGATTGGGAAGCC